GTTATATAAGTGGAAAATATGTTATTAGAGGGTATAAATAACAAGTTTGAGCCGGGGATTAATACTAAGCCATAGACTAAATCCATAGATTATTTTTGTTTCTCTACATTTTTGGTGTATACCAGCAACTCTTTTTTCAAAACAATCTTATAAGAAACGTTCATCACTAAATACACTGGAAAAAATGCTGCTCCAAAATCAAGTAAAAGAATAATGAAAACAAGGTGTTTTCGCTTGTAATAAGTAAAACAATCTGCCAATAGAACAAGTGAAGATTTGCTTGGTTAGATTTCTTGAAATAAGATGGGATGTTTAGATAAAGGAGATCTTAATTAGCTGGGAGAACTTACTAACATATGTCTTACCCGGATCAGTAAATGGTATAACAAAATAAACCTGAAATACTCAAAAGTTTTCAGTTTTTGTGATGTTGGTTGGTGATTTTCCAATAAGAATTTGTTTTAGTTTTTTAAATCAAGTAAGATTTATTTTTTAAAACAAGATTAGCCATCTTTTACAAAAACCATAGCAGCTTAAAGAACTTGTTTAATTTGAGATACAACTCAAAATAAGATGTTTTCAAGAGTCTTGAAGATTTATTGTCTAAAAACAAGACCCTATATCTCACTGCATTACCTCTTCAGTTATTATGTCTTATATCGAGTGTAAAGACATATTCTGACTAGACATATATACTTGGCAAGATTTCTATTATTTCTATATTATTTTTGGTATTTAATTCAAAATATTATGCAGTGTATCAAACTTGCCTATGACGTAGGAGAGTAACAGATTCCACCCAGTGATGAAAGCCAGCAGCTCTCCAACCGTCACATAGCTGTAGAGGTATGCTGAGCCTGTTTTGGGAACCCGAGACCCAAACTCTGCGTAGCATAGTCCAGCAAATATGGATGCCAGGGCGGCAATGCCGAAGGAGAGGATGATGCTGGGTCCCGCAGTGTCTCTGGCCACCTCTCCAGACAGGACGTAGACCCCGGCCCCCAGGGTGCTGCCCACGCCTAGGGCCACCAGGTCCAGAGTGGTGAGGCATCGGTTAAAAGTGGACTGCTCCCCGTCTGGCTCCAGTGGCTTTCTCCGAGATAGACTCCCCAGGAAGGACTTCACACAGCCACACGCCATGCTTCTTTGGGTTTGGATGTTAAGATGTGGGAATTCTGATGAAAGGGACAGGTGGGAGGTAGGTTAAATGCTGTAGCGAATGAAGAAGAAAGAGTGAGGAGAGGAGTGGGGGAGAAAGGGCGAATCAGTGAACCTTAGAGTGAATAATTGTCAGGTCAGCCCCTCAGTAGAACATCTTTTCTCAAGCATAACACATTTTCTCTAAATGTGTTGTTAATGCAACAGTTACAAAGGGATCTATTCATCAAGGCAAAGTCCAATTAACAATAGAGATTTGGACATATTGCAATTTGTTAAAGATTATAAGATTATATTAGAAGAATTTACTCACATGTTTTACTAAGATTCCACTAAATGTTCATTAGGGTCAAAGAAGACTGAATTCACTCACGTCCTCTGTGTATTTCCTTCTCAGGTGTGCTTAGAAGAGACAATTACATTAATAGGACCTGTCATTCCCCTAAATCACATTATTCCGTTATACATGCCCTTCTTTATCACCCCGCTGATATGATTCTGCTGATGCTTGGAGTTTTCATTGCCGCCCACAGCGCAAAGCAACGCCCTGCTCGAGAACTGCACTTTACTCAACCTTCAATTACTTACACAATTACTTCCGTTAGAATGTAAGAGGAATGCAGATTGGTTTATAATTTGGCAATAAAAGAAAATAGTTAGGTGTTCTCGCCTCGCCAGCAGTATCATGTCTAAGATATTTACTCCTCTCAGATTGATTTATCGTTTTTATTCCCTGTGTTTACCTGCTTTTTTAAAATGAAAAGGCAATTTTTATTTTTGTAAATGACTCTAAAAACTGTTTTTGGGATTTCTAAACAAGAATTATAAGTCAACCCATTTAAAATATCTGAGAGAGAGGGACAAATAGGAAATTAGGAATCTTCCACAGAAAACTAAAGAGGACCAGTCTTGTATTTTATTAATTATTTTTCAAATGTGACTCATATTATACGTGAGAGATGATTTGGCTTTCATAATTGTTTCATGATTGTGCCTTCAAGATAATCCAAGACTTTAAGGTTCATATTCGTCTATGACTTTGAATTGTGTCCTTCCCAAACAGAAGGTGGCAACAAAACAAAACAACTCTACATAGCCAGATTCCTGCTATCTGATGTGACACCTTTCAATAAAACATGTTTTTTATTATAGAAGTATGCAGAGGTACGTCATCCCACACTGTTCTCAAAGTGTGTTTACATGCAGGTATATGTTACACCTTATCACTGTTTCTGTGTTGGAGTTTTGGTGCTTATCTAATAGGAGCCGTGACCCCTTCACTACTTGGAGGTGTGAGCCGGCCTGCCAGAGTTAATGAAACAGAGGAGGACAAAGCTTCATTCATAGCCGGCTGCACACTTGTTTTTTGAAAGGTATCTTTCGCCTTCTGATCTCCCATCAGGGTATTTCAGCTCACATAATCCCTCTCGGCATCTCCTTCAGCAGACAGGAGGCGAGTGGGAAAGCAGCCTGTGTGTACGGTCAAAGTACCTTTGAGAAATGTAAAGCTCTGGCTGCCTATCTGCAGATCTCAGGGTTTGAGATACCGTTTCCAGAGGAACAGTAGGGTAATGCCTAACTCAATAACAGCTATACACACGTGATGTGCAGCTTTATGATCAGAGGGTTAATCTGTTTCCCAGTGAAGCTCAGTTAATGATCACTGATGTGTTATTTATCGCTGTCTACTGTGCAATTAAAGAAAAATCACAGATACATATTACAGTTCACTCAAATACACAGAAATTAAAGCAGAGGTCAGAGATTTTAATCTAACTGGCTGATGGTCATTTAATTCAGAAGATACAGAAGTTGTTTACCTTGTATTCAGTCCCACGAGGAGTGGCTGGTGACTGTGTGGTGAAAACAGCGCAAAGAGGCAAACATATCCGTGCTGTTGACTTGGATGAAGGAAACATGATTTTTACTGCAATATATACAAGACTCCGAGTCTCTGTGACCCTCCCACTGGAATTACTTACAAAGTCGCCTTTCTCACTCAGCACCAGTTTGGATAATAATGTGCTCATTATTGCACTGACGGCACAGGGTGAGAATTGTGAACAGCAAATCCGATTCAGAATGTGAAAAATGCTTTTGTGCTCACTTAGTTGTTTTGTTTTCACAAGATTTTATTTTAATTCATTGATATGTGGTGAAAGATTATTAGGAGTATTGAATAAAGAATACATGATAGATTCTGAGAAATTGCTGGGAAATGTAAAACATTTATTGTTCAAAAAAAAAAAAAAAACAACAGTAGTGAGATCATGGATGCAATCAAACCATTTAAAAAAAAAGTTTTAACAATTTCTAATAGTTCTGGATTATCTCAATTAAAATAATCTCAATTCCTAACCCATGGGGATGTTAATAACTCATTTTTTTTTTGTCTATAATTTAATACAGTTGGGTTGGCCTTTTTAAATGTCCCACCTGACAGTCAGGTTCTCATGATAAGTGTGCAATGCTATTTTAAAACAGGAGAGGTCAGTGTACAACACTTACTGGTGCCTCATAGGCGGAGGTGGGAGGTCCCCTCTCACTCTGAACACTGGCGGAGAGAAAATGAGGCCAAATAATATGATATGAATATGGAAGAACAAGTCAAAAACAGCCCTATTTCCCTGATAAACACAAACAGTTGATACAGAGTGATGGTTCAAATAATTCCTTCATGTTCTTACAGTAAACTGAGGTCAAGGGGTGTCAGTGAAACATTGATATTACCACAGGTTGGATTCCAGTCACATGAAACACTAAACATATTGAGTAATGCCTCTGCTATTCATGGTACTGTGCCGTATGTAAGCCTCCGTGCTTCCTGGAAGTCACCTCTTATCCACCCTTCGGCCAGCAAACTCAATAAAATGTCACCAAGGATAATTGAGGTATCACAAATCTATCTGCATCAAACACCAAAGCCACAGCCAGCACATATAATAAATGTTGGGGCTCTTCAAAAAAAAAGTTCTAAATAATGTCTGTTTCCAGACTTAAAAGCAAATGTGGAAGAAGTACTACAAAGACAGACAAAAGTATTGATATCAAATTATACTTAAAGTACCAAAATAACTTGTTATGCATAATGGTACATTTAAGAATCATATTTATGAAATTACTAGATTACAATTATTTTCCATAGTGCTGCTAGAGGTTTTTTTTACCTATAATGATATGTTTATTTGTTCTAAAAAGTAACTAGTAACTAAAGCTGTAGAAGTGTAGGGGAGTAAAAAGTGCAACATTGGCTTGCAAAATGTAGTGGTGTATAAAGTGACATAAAATGAAAATATTCACAGTACAACACTAACCTGAAGTACCACAACATTGTACTTAAACTGTACTTGAGTAAATGTACTTTGTTACTTTACACCACTGCTTGAAAGTGTATGTTTCCACACATTACCACCAATGTGAAAGATTTGTCTAATTTTTTATCATGTTTAATTCTGTAGTCCCAAATGCTGAAATGGCCACCCCCCACCCCCTCCCATTCCCCTCTTACTGGAATAGATGCCGACAGGACAGAAATAGAGCAGGCAAGCTGCTGTTTAAATCACATAACTCTCAGTCAGAGTCACGTGACAAAGTTCAGAAATTCAGAACAAATTCAAAGCGAAAAGTGCCTTCAACAAACCCCAAGTGAAGGTTTCCTTGATGCTAAAGCAAATAGCTTTTGAATGTTTTCTTAAAGAAGGGTACACGCTTTGCAGCAAAGTGCTAGAATGCAGAAAACACGTGTGCGTACAATTGCGCAGCCTCCGTGCGTTAGGTTACTGATGTTACCACGTAACACACGTTTGAAGTATGTCTTTACTGTAAGACATCTTCCCGTTACATTCAGGATCTCTCTCACACACACCTCTGCGAGACAGATCGCCGCAGTCGTGACGTCATAGAGGACACGTAACGGGACTGCCCGAGTCTGACTGGAGGAGCACACAGACCGGCTTAACGGGGACAGAGCAGCAGGACACTCTCACCGGATACTGCCTACACACACAAGGTAAGCCATATTTAGTATTATTTATAAAACTTCTTAAGCCCGAAGAAAAGGTGATTTGGGAAAGGTTTGCTGACGATCCAGCGTTAGATGTGGCAATTAATTACTATAGACAGCAGTAAAACTCTGGAAGACAGTTGTAATTTTATTTAGTTAATTTGTGGATGCAAAAGAGAGTTAATTTACAACTAAAACGTTCTTTTTATTTTTACTTAGAGCAGTCTATTCTGTAGTGTGGGGTTCAGAGAAGGGTGTGGCTCTGCAGATAGGCCAACAGTGGAGGCTTGAGGCCAGCCCCCCCCCCCCTCATACCTTCATTCTGATATTAAGTTAAACTGTGCATGCTATTTTGGGAGAGCTTTCCTTATGTCTTTAAGCAAACAGTGCTGCATTGAAACTGTAGAAAAGCTCAAAGTCTACATTTTTAAAACATTTGTCCTTTGATCTCATAGTACTGTTATTTTGCACTGTGATTATTGAGAAATATAATCAGGCAGCTGTTCCCATATGCTTTCTGAATGGCTGCTTTCTATGTTGCATAGCAGCACAGGAAATGTGACTAAATAGTTTTCCTGGCTTACTGAATGTGCGGTCTCTGCGAGAAGCTTGTCTCTTTGGTCAGTTTCCTGTGCAGGTATTTACCACATTGAAGAGATAACCTTATTAGGTTTACTGAGGAAAACAAGGGATCATTATCACTGCAACACAATGGGGAGGGGGACGGGGGACGGGGACACTTCAAGAGGACAGGGATGTATTGCAATTCTGTTATCCAGCCCTACATCAGCATTTCTCTGTGTCTCTCTCTAGGCCTGAAACTATTGATTCCTGCTCAGTGTTGACACAGAAGACCAAATATAGAAATGGTAAGTTGAAATGACCTTTCTCCTCTTGCATTATGTAAGTATGAAACATTTTGCATCATACTGCAGAGCAGATCTTGTGTCTGTGCTACATGGTCGGTTTTGTGTACCATTGAATGAGATGTGGATAGAGTGAGGTCATTTTTCTGCCACCTGCCACCATGTGATTCCTCCCTATCATAAAGGCAGCAGTGTTGGGTGACACATGTAATGGACACAGCTGACAGCATCTTTCCAATGGCTTTGTCTTATCTTCAAATGTATTGTCCGAGATGTTAGTCAGTGTCTTATCGTTCTGCTCTTAGTTGAGTTGGACCAATATTGGCTGTTAATTATACTCTGCACAGCTGTGGCTTTAGCAAATAAGAAACAAGCAGGGAGGAATGAAGGAGTACAAATGTAGCTAACAATTTGAATCCACATTAGGATTTTTCCTAATCAAACACATTACTAAATGGGATTACTTTAGTTAAAGGCCTGTTGCCAGGGGTTTGTATTTGCAGCCCTGTTGCTATGTGAGTGAAGCTCTCCAGCTGTCGTGAGGAGAGATGGTCTGTAGTAAAGCAGAGAGCAGTGGGTGGAGAACATATTTTGGCTGCATGCCTTAATGCAGTAGTATTTTATACAACAGCAGCTGCAGTAAGAGCCTTCGAAATGAAGGCCAAGCTTTCTAGCTTTCTTTTTTCCCAAAGTGAATGAGCTAATAACATCACACCTCTAAAGCCAGGGCCCATTTTATAAACAAAATCCTTGTGTAGTGCTTTATATTTTCTTTTCATGCCCAATGGAGTTTGTTAGTAAACTCTGACCTTATTGAGGTGCTGCATGACAGAACGTTATGTGAAACCTGACTCCGTGCTGCTCCTATGGACCCACTGCCCCCCCGACACACACACACACCCACACACACACACACACACACACACACACACACACACACACACACACACACACACACACACACCTAGGCTATCCTCTGCTCAGCTGGGGGTGGGACAGGTGCAAGCAGTCAGCTGTAATAGCAGACATGGCTTCACCTCCTGTCCCAGTGTCCTGTCCCTGATACTTTTACACAATTAACTACTGCAAGCCAGTGCACTGTTAAAGCGGGATAGTACAAACTTTATAAGCTGTCTAGGTTAAGGTCAGCGGCCTCTGCAAATGCTGAACACAGCAAGTTTCTCTGTGAGGCTGTACCCAGGCACATGTGATGTTTTGAGCTAATGGCTAATGTTACTATGCTAACATGCTGATGTTTAGCTGATGTTCATCCAAACATGTTCACAATTATTTTTCATAAATGTTTTGCAAGGAGTTATTCATAAACCAAAGTATTGGCTAAATTAAACGACACCATGAATGACTGTATCAATCCTATAGTTATCAGAGAATTTCAAATAAAAACTAAAATATCAACATCATGCAGATGCTAAAGTAGTAGTCAGGGGATCACCAGGAGGCTTTCTCCTTTGGGGACCATGATATTATATATTTTTTAGGGATTAGTGAGCCAGAGAAGATGCATTTCCTTGCATCTGAATGTACAACTGCACATCCAGAGTTGCATTTCTCTGTACTGTCTCAGAGGTCTACGCATCCCAGACATCACTGTGCACTTCGTTCTTGAGTCATGAGCACTAACTACTTGTCTCTCCTCTGAAACTAAATTTGAATTTCTTTCTTACAGGTGTTCAGAGGCATAATAACAGATGCTCCAGACTTTGATCCCTCCACTGACGCGGAGACCCTTTACAATGCTATGAAAGGCATGGGTAAGTGCCACATTCTTCTTGTGATTTCTGATTGCGGGGGGGAAATGTCAACTCTCCCCGTCCCCACTCGTAGGCTGAATGATCACATAAGGAATTTCACGCAGTGGTCAGGGCGGTGATGCAATAATAGATTTTCTGTCATTACGTTTTTTGAAAATGTTGCTTTGTGCTTCTCAGGTAGCGATAAAGAAGCCATATTGGACCTGGTCACTTCAAGGAGCAATGTACAGAGGCAGGAAATCATTGCAGCGTACAAATGCAACTTTGGACAGGTAATCTGATTACTGATTTTTGTTTTGCTTTAATAGAAACACGTTTGTCAGAGACTGTTTATCTATCATGCTACAGGATAACTTAAAACACATTGAAGCAGACGCGTGCACTCAATTATGTTGTTGTCGTTCTAACAGGACCTAATTGAAGATCTGAAATATGAGCTGACGGGCAAATTTGAGCGCCTCATTGTCAGCCTGATGAGAACCCCAGCCTACCATGATGCCAAAGAAATCAATGATGCAGTCAAAGTAAGACGCTTTTTTTCAATTGTACAATTCTTTATGATACTTCAGGCACAACTAATAAAGAAGAAGCTACTTCACATTTTATGTTATGCTCTTTTTTAAGGGAGCTGGAACCAACGAGAAAGTCCTTATTGAAGTCATGGCATCCAGAAACAACCAACAGATTCAAGACATGGTTGCAGCGTACAAGGATGGTAAGGCTTGCTAAATAAGTCATTTTAAATCAACTAATTCTTTGTTAAGCATCTCTTAACATTTGACATTGATGCCCGTGTCTTCAGCCTATGGCAGTGACATTGAGGAGGATATAATCGCAGACACCTCCGGTCACTTTAAGAAGACACTGATTGTTTTACTTCAGGTCAGTTCACAGAGGAGTTGATGTAATCATGACTGAAATGTACATTCAGCAGTGCACCTTTAACAATAGACTGATTGTATTGGTTTGATGTTACCAGGGGACCAGAGATGAGTCAGGAGTGGTGGATGCAGATCTGGTGGAGCAAGATGCACAAGTGAGAATAAGAACAGTTTCAAACGCCTTAAAAGTAAAAAAATGTGTTTATTTATAACCTACACTTTGTCATTCTGTGTGTAGGATCTGTATGCAGCCGGAGAAGAGCAGTGGGGGACGGACGAGGCCAAATTCATCATGATTCTTGGAAACCGCAGCAAGACCCACCTTCACATGGGTGAGCACATGCTCTCTGGACAATTTACACTAAAGTGAGGCATTCATACATTACCACTGTGACCTCAAGTCTCTCAGGAGTTAATTGCAGTTTAAAAGTTGCCATCATATTATGAAACCAACTTTCTCGTTCTAATGCCGAGAAAACTGCCTAAGGCCTGCTTCTTAGAAGTGAAATTTGAACACAGGCATCACAAACTAACAGAGGTACATAAAAGATCGTTCAGGAATATGGCTAGTGAAAAAAACATGTTGGTTACTTTTTGTTGATTCCAATTGTTGCATCTGTTTAAAGAAAACCGGCCGTCTGTAACAGCACCCATGCTAGCAGCTCTTTGAGGCTGTTCTCAGTGGTGGTTTGAGCTAACATTAGCATGCTAACATGCTCATAAAGATGATGCTTGCAAACTGATTTAGAGATGGTTATATTTACAAGGTTCAACATCTTGATATAGCTTGGTATTTTCCTTTTCAGAATGTTAAGGTATTTAAATTGTCATGCGATGAAAAACATGACATAACAATGTCATCTGTTTGCTTAGTTTTCGATGCATACGAGAAGATTGGAGAGACGACCATAGAGGACAGCATAAAGAATGAGTTGTCTGGGGACTTTGAGAGGCTAATGCTGGCTGTTGGTAAGAAACACATTAAAAGTACCACTTTAAGACATGATTGGTGTCAAGTTGTGAAGTTTACAGGGGTCTCTCTTATTTACTTTTTTCTAACAGTCCAGTGCATAAGGAACGTTCCCATGTTCTATGCAAAGCGCCTCTACAAGTCAATGAAGGTAAACAAAAAGTAAAAGATTGCTGTTCAGTCTAGTTTCAAACTATTTGTGGACATGTATTCCCTGGCAACACAGTTGTTATAAAATGTTTTTTTTATTTAGGGGCAGATTGCAATCTAACGTTTTGACTTGATATTTAAAATGTATTAGGGCTACTTGACCGTGAATACTTCCTCTCCTTTATTTCCAGGGTCTCGGTACAGCTGACAACACCCTGATCAGGATCATGATTTCTCGCTCTGAAATAGACATGTTGGACATTCGGGAGTGTTTCCGTTTATTGTATGAGAAGTCACTTTATAACATGATTAAGGTAGGTTAAACACTAATAAAATATGTTCCTACTGATTTAGCATCAGCAAAGCATAACCCCTTTACCTTCATTTTCTTTATAAACCCCTCAGGATGACACATCGGGGGATTACAAGAGGACTTTGCTTAATCTGTGTGGAGGAGATGATGAGTAAGTGTTGGCTGCAAGCAACAGCAGCAACCAGACGGGGGTGATAGAACACCACTTTTCAGGGGTGATGGTTTTCTGAGTGTAATATAAGATTTTCTGAAAGTAAAGCAGTTTATTGAGTAATTAATCCCTGTCTCCAGAAAAGTACTCACTGTGTACCACTTGGTGCTGGCTTTGTCTTGTTTCAAACTGATCATTACAGTTTAGCTGGAGAGTTCTTCCCTGAAGCTGCTCAGATAGCCTACAAGATGTGGGAAACAAGTGCCATGACCAAAGTCCAGGTTTGGGCCCCATCTGCTCCCACATTAGACGTGTCATGCATGTTTGGCTTGGCAGTGGCATGCATCCTAATTACCTCCCCGCCCTGCAGTGACCTGCTTCTTGCAGTGTCACAAACTTGTGCTGATAATACTGCCATGTCTTCACAGCGAACTCTTTGTTTAACTGCGGATAGGATCAGAATGCTGCTCACTCAAATACAAATCGTTTTTGTTATTATGCACTGTCCAAGTCATCGTTTTGTCCTGCTTTGTCCGTGAAGTGAATTGGAGTAGAAATCTCAGCATTTTGGTTGACAAAAGATCTTTTCACTAACTCTCTATAAAGCAGATATTTTTTAGCCTACCCACCTTTAATTGTAGGTTGTGTCATGGCTTCTAACCTCAAGAGGGCACACTCCCCCTCAACAAACACTTTTCTTTTTTGCATATTATATAGTTCTGCATGTTTAGTGCTTTGATAACAAAATATATCAATTTAAATTAAACTATTTTGGTTTGCCGCATGATGTCTGGATTGTTATTATTGAATCTCACACTTCCAATGATGTCATCCCACTACTTTAGCTGAGGCCAACACTCCGTCCTGCTCACGATTTTGACCCAGCTGCTGATGCACAAGCGCTGAGGAAAGCAATGAAGGGATTCGGTATGTAACACTGAAAAGCACATTTACACTGATACAATTTCTCAAAACAGGTTTTACTAATGTTTTTGCCTTTTACCACCTACAGGAACAGATGAAGATGCAATCATTGAAATTATTGCACATAGAAGCAATGCTCAGAGGCAAGAGATCAGACAAACATTCAAATCCCTCCTGGGAAGGGTAAATAATTCATAATAATGTTACAATAAACATATCAATAGATATTTCCTTGAAGCTGTTTCATGTAACTTTTTGTGTTTGATGTGTCCTCAGGATCTGATGAAGGACTTGAAGTCTGAGCTATCAAAGAACCTCGAGAGGCTGATCATTGGGCTCATGTTGACCCCTGCAGAGTTTGATGCCAAAATGATGAAGAAGGCAATGGAGGTACAGTAGTTGACATGGTTGATATCAGTACATGTGAAGGGAGAAGCTAATGAGTGAGGAACACCCCTTCATAAAAAATAAAAAACACTTGTTATTATAAGTCTGTGATAGTTGATGTCAAGCCCGAGAAGTAGATTTTGTGCTTGAATGTCATGACCATTAGACAAAATGTATGAAAGTCAATTCATGTGCATTTTAGGTATTTATAAAGATTATCTTACTTGCCTTTTGTTGAAACCTTTACTCTGAACTTACAGGAAGTACAAAATAGTTTCACAATTGTATGTCCCTATTATGTAGATTTGAATGCAGTGGAATAGAATAGCTTGCCTTTTGAAGGCCTAGACGCAAAATACAAGTAATTGAAAGGATTAAATATAAAACATCGGCATTTCTAAATCTGTAATGGTCTCACTGAATAGTTATGTGTCAATGCCACACTGAACTGTGAATCAGATCATCTTACCTGTCATATTTCACAATATACTTCCTCGCTTCTTGGACATTGATACAGTTTTAGGAAGTTCTGTCATCAAAATGAATGAATGAAGATGATAACAATCAGAACAAAAATAGCAAAACTGAACTGACATTTTATTTCAGCAGATATGAGGAGGCCCCATTTGTGAAACTTCCCTGTATTTTTGTTATTTACTCTTAATTTAAACAGGGGGCTGGGACAGATGAGCACGCCCTGATCGAGATCCTGGTCACCAGGAGCAGTGAGCAAATACTTGACATGAACGCTGCTTATCAGGCTGGTGAGTTTTATACCAGAAACAAAAGGCATAGAAATGTTTTGTTCAGGATACCTTTAACATGTAGCTTTTTACATCACAGGCTATACAAAGTCTATGGAGGAAGCCATTAATTCAGACACATCAGGCCTCTTCTGCCGAATCCTTGTTTCTCTTGCGCAGGTATAGGTTCATCAGCATGAGAACTTAGTCTGTGTTTTGTTTCCACGCCCACTCACTGGTTGCAGTCTGTCTGCTGACTGTAGCAGAGAACTAAAGGTCCATTTCATTACATGCACAGTGTTCTTTCACATGGTCTTATGTTACAAATGAAAGAGAAAAATAAAATGTTCTCGGTGATATTTAATAGATCAAAGCACTTACTATCTTTTTTCTGTTCAGGGTGCAAGAGAGGAGGAACCTGCCAATGAGGAAAGAGCTAATGCAGATGCTCAGGTGATTTAGTGTGTGTCTTTTTACTGTAATGTTTTACTGTGTTAAATATGAAATGGAAGACTGGGTTTCAGTGTTTGTTCCTGTTCTTCCTCCCTAACCTATCAGGAACTTGCCGATGCATGCAACGCTGACTCTGATGACATGGAGAACAAGTTCATGAGCATTCTGTGCACCAGAAGCTTTCCCCATCTCAGAAGAGGTAAACGACAAGACAAATACAATACAGTTACAATTTATAACATGATGTGTGTGTTTCTCAAAAACAGAATGTAACTGATCAAGCTCATGAATACACTCCCTGCTATTCACAGTTTTCCAGGAGTTTGTCAGATACTCCAACAAGGACATTGAACAGATTATCAAGAAGGAGATGTCAGGAGATGTCAAAAATGCCTTTTATGCAATAGGTAACCACTGTTTTTGACCTAATTTTACTTTTAAATGTGTCGCATTGTATACTGCTGACAACATCTATTCTCCTCCTCAGCCATTTCACGCACTCTCTTTACTTTGCAGTTCGCAGCGTAAAGAACCAGCCCTCTTATTTTGCGGACCGTCTGTACAAAGCCATGAAGGTACTTTAAGTATAAGTATATGCATGTATGATTCCAGCTGCAAGTGTAAAGGTTATTTTTATTGATGCATGTAAGATATTTAAGTTTTGTATCTTTTTCTATACTTTCTTGGTATTGATGCTGAGTGCTCTCACAGTAGCAATTACTAGTAAGTCAATCAGAATAAACACATTTCATTGGTCTCCGCTGCAGGGCCTCGGCACAGACGACAGAGCGTTGATCCGCATCATGGTGTCCCGCAGTGAGATCGACCTGTTCAACATTCGCAAAGAGTTCAAGGAAACACATGATGTTTCCCTCCATGAATTCATCCAGGTAGAAACTATGATCGTAAGTCGGAGCTTTTGTCAACTAACACTCCTGGTTGCTGTGTTTCTTCATCTCATCTGTATGTGTGGGTGTTTTGTCTTCTGGTCTTTGTGTGATTGCATGTTGCAAATCCTTCTTCTGCTGCTGTGCTGGGGTGGGGGAGTGGGGGTGTATGGTAATCTATAGCTTCCTGCGGTGGACTATGGGTCTGTGGCTATTGCACAGCTGTTTTTAGGAATTTCCCTTGCATGCTTCCTCTCTATATCCGCTGTCTGATTGGCTGACAGCACAGGGACAGGAAGCAGTTCTATAATAATTCACAGATGAAATTACCGTGACACCAATACAAACAAGCAAGTAGGGTGCCCTGAATTGGCTTTGCAAGAAATATTACCAGTTTATGCAATGGCAAGGATTGCTATATGTTGTGTATTCTGAAGTGTGTATATTGTACGCAGTTTGTTCACCAAGTTTTTAGTTCTGTCTATATTAGGGAGTACATTTTAGTTGCAATATATGATTTAATATGATTAAAACAGTTTGTCAATTACAAAGTCTGTCCCATTTTTTAACCCATTTTACAGATTTTATTGTCAGTAACATCCGAGAAATAAACCCGGTAGTAGTATCAAGTGGATTTTGCTACTTTTGTACAGAGCAGGGTATCTGTTTCCCCTTGTTTCCAGTCTCTGTACTAAGCTAAGCTAACATTTACCGTACTGATGTGATCTAACTCATAGCGAGAAATCAAATGACCAAAGTTCCCAAAAAAAGGAACTAGTCCTTCAAAAAGATTTAGCTCAATAATGATGATTATAAAGATAAAGATCTGTATCTGTGACTGTCAGCTGATATAAAGGGTAATTCCACTTGATTTTAGTTGATTTGTGGCTTGCGATTTCTGCTTGTCCCCATGACTCACCCACTCATTGAACATTAATGAATGATAATCATTGTTTTGCTTTTGTGTGACTGAGAAGAATAATCCCGCTTCCCAGTTTCAGCTCTGTAATGATGACCAAATGTCAGGAGACAATGACACAGTTTCTTTTTTTAACACAATCCTTCTGTGTGCATTATCTATCATTGCTCAGGGTGATACCTCAGGAGACTACCGTAAAACCCTGCAGTTGCTGTGTGGAGGGGAGGATTAAACTGGCCAAGTGTCTGCAGCTCCATTCACAGACTTCAGAGAAAGAACACATTCAGACAAGCCCGATCTCAGAGTTAAACTGCGGTGGTTAATGTCAGTACCTGTTGCCAGTGTCCCATATATACTGCTGCAACTCCTCAGCCAACCAAGTGACCTATGAGCTCTCCGCCTTGCAAGACAGTTTTCTCTCTCATGTCTGATCGTCCTCTCCCTCCGGATGATGTCTTCCTTTTTTTTTTTACAGTCATATGTAACATGAGAGTGTTCACGGTGGGGTATAAATAGAGGACATTGGGAAATTAGCAAATCAAATAGTGCCTTCAGATCCAGGCCTTCCAATGATTACTGTGATTTAAAGATATCATAGACCTTAATAAAATGATGAAAAACACAAAAATAATCTTTTGTCTTTCTTTTTTGCTTGCCGAACATTTGCTATTCATTTTGATGTATAATTTTCATTCATGTAAAATGTAAATAAGCTAGCACTTTATATTGAGGTACACAAGTTAACCATCAACTAGTTGTTAATTAACATGCATATTAGCAATATATTGGCTCTTTATTAGTCATTATAAAACACGTATTAATGCCTTATTCTAATCTACATGACCCTATTCTACAAGTTAGTTGAGAGTTTTTCCCCAATAACCCTCTAATTAGTGCTTATTTATTGCAAGTAAGGCAGTTGTTGTACACAGGGCCGCCTTAATGCACGGGCTGACCTGGGCTGAAGCCCAGGGGCCTACGGAGATCGGGGGCCTATCATGAGCCAATTAAAAAAAAAAAAAAAAAAAATTCAATTTTTTTTTTTTTTTCTTTCGGATGTTTTTAAAAAAAAAGTTAAATAAACTAAGTCTTGGCTTTCAGAATATGAAACTTTCATTTCCAAAATCACACGATAAATACATTTTTGAAGCTTGTAAAGGGAAGACAACAGCTCTCCCTCGCCACTCTGCTGTTCCACAGCGCCGTTCCCCTCCCTCCGCTGAAATTATGAATGTAAGGCGTATAGTAATCATAGATAACACGGCAGGGTCCGGTACAGTTTGTTTTCATCTGATTTAAAAAAAACAAAGTCTTGGCTTTCAGAATATTAAACTTGTTTCGGCAAATTCAGATGATAAATACAGCTTTGAAGTTTGTAACGGCATAATTACAACCGGAGAACGGAGTAACTTGACGTCACAGCAGGCATAACAACAACCGGTGTTTCTCGTGAGTATTTTCCCCGGGACACAATACACACAAACGCAAAAATACACAAACACACACACGTAAACACACACACACACTCATGAGCTTCCCCCAGACCAGTAATCCAAACGAAAGTATCTTCCCTCCGTAGTATTTTTGATCATTTGCTCTGCTAATTAATCAGACCGATGGATTCCAGAGATTTTTCTCAAAAATGATGACTCCGTAACAGTCAGTGGACACTACTTAACAGCCAATCAGAATGAGAATATGTTTCACATGTGAAGTATTCAAATTGCGAGTGATTGAGTGACAGATCAAGGTTGTTTAGGAGAAAAAGTTTGAGAAGAAAAAGTTTGAGAGTGGCGCTCGGAAAAGGAAATAGTTTCGAGACAAGCAGCTATTACAAAAAATGCCGAAGCTTACAGGTTATTTTAAACCTGTAGGCCAGGATGAGGAGGAAGGACAGATGAGTTCTGTACCGAGCAGTAGCGGTGCCGGCCGCGGGGCCTCGGAGCCAAGTAGGCCGTCTGGTTCTGATAGCGATGGAGTAGCGGGAGAGGAAAAACAGACAGGAGGGAATTATCTGTTGGAGGAGATGGAGAGGACGACGAGGACTTGCTAAGTGGAGGAGAGCCAACGGCAACCGGACAAATACATGAGGGAGGCCCGATACGTCACTCATCTGGAGGAGAGGACCAGGCGCGCGTAGAGCAGAGTGGAGAAGTGCCATCACAGAGCCTGCCGAGGCTATAAATGACTTTGATTTGTTGTTTAAATAGGGGGCCTACAAAACCTATCAGCCCCAGGGCCTGATGGCAGGTTAAGGCGGGCTTGTGTGTGACAGGTGGTCACTGACAATAGGGATGAGTCATGTTATCATGTCAGCGCTGATGACCTACAGTATACTACAGTAAGGTTCACAGGTGGACTGCAGGTGTTTATGTTTTGTGTCAAACCTACTTTTCAATATGACCACTGTCTGAACACTAATATCATCAGCAGTCCTGCATTGTGTCCAACAAAGACTCTGTGACATGTGTACTGATAAGAAGGTAATTTAATGCTGACCTGACCTCTTACTAGGAGGTGACCTACATTTAAACCCCCTGATTTAATACTGAGCAATCAGCATTGCATGTCTTGTATGTGTGTTGGTCTGTGTATATGTACACATACACAGTTTGAACTCTGAACACAGCATCCAATATATTTCAATGACTTGAAGTTAATTTAAAATACTCCATACTATCCTCTAAACATCTTACCTGTTTAAATCGTTTTTTGGATAGATTTCATAAGTAAATGTTGACTTAGGAGAATTTTTCCAATGTTTGTGGCTGTTTAAAATAAATGGAATAATAAAGAAAACATGTAGAGGAGGACATTTGACTAAAAATGTTTGTACAGTATGTGACCTTTTTTCTGACAAAGTGATGTTGGAATCATAAAATATCAGTAACATTTCAAATTGAGGCTCTGTGTCAGAGTGGTGAGGGATTGTTGTTGCAGCAGCTGTTTTTCAGCCATGATGATCCTCTACTTCAGATCAAATATAAGCAGCTATAGTAGGAGGAGAACTTTACTGTTGAAGTGATCCGCAAAGTAGCACTTTATTAAAAATCATTGGAAATCCTGCATTTGACCTAAAGTAATTATATTGCATATATTACCCCCTGATGGTCTCTCCATGTGCCCCCGCAGGTCCTCCACTCGCTGCGCCTCCTGCTGATGATGAAGCCTCACGTCCTGTCCCGGGTCAGCAGGGAGGTGGCCTATGGCCTCCATGAGCTACTGAAGACTAACGCAGCCAACATCCACTGCACCAACGACTGGTTCACACTCTTCTCCCTGCTGGAGTGCATTGGAGCTGGAGTCAAACCTCCCGCCTCCTTCCAGCTCTCCTCCACCCACAGCGACCACGACGCAGGTATATGTCTCTCCACATCTCAACCAAAACATCGAATAAAACGTGTTACACTTATGAACACAACCTTTATTACGCATTCTTTGGCACCATCAATACTTCTTAAACTTAAAGCCAATCATTTTTAATAATGTTATTGGACTACAGACATTTCCCTCGGACTGATTGAGTTTACAATAAGCAGCCGTTAATCCCTAAAAGAAGATCAAAGCACAGTACTAGCTAGGGGTGGGCGATATGACGATATATATCATTGAGACGATATTAGGTCTCCACGATATGCCTTTTCAGAGATATCATATCTATCGTGATAGTGCACCAGGGTAGGATTTTCACGGCGGCCGTGAAGCCCCGAAAATAATTGTACGTGCTCCGGCCACCATGGCCTGCGTGCCCCTGATACTGTTAAAATCTCGAAGTTGCTTTAAAAGCGTCAGAACAGTGGTTTCTGAACTGCGTTATGCTGCGTTCACAACGGACGCAATGCGAATATTCTCACCCTAACCGCTGGAATTTCACTGCGGCTGTCAGCTGTGTTTACTCCTGTCATTCAAACAGGACACGCTGGAGAGGGGGCGGGGCTTATATCCATGTAAATACTGTGGTGGAAACCAACTACGACAAAATTAACCTATTTTACCGTGATTTAATTGTAATATACGTTTAAAAAATTATGCCGAAGTAACTAAATACTGATAACGGTTAGTAAAAACCAAAGCTGTCTAGTCAGGATTCAGACAGTNATAATACATAACATATGTTTTTAAATGTCTCCTGTACCGATACAAAAGAGCGATAACGTTGGAGCTTAACGGGGTGTAGAACACATGTGATGACGTCACCAACGAATCGACGACTGAATTAGTTGCCAACTAATTTGGTAATCGATTTTAATCGATTAAGTCGATTAGTTGTTGCACCCCTAATTCTGGATGAGCTGCAGAGGTCAGATGGCACATGCAGGTAGACCAGCCAGGAGGGAGTTGCAGTAGTCTAGGCGTGAGATGAAAAGAGCCTGGACCAGAACCTGCGTTGCTTTCTGGGTCAGGAGGGGACGTATCCTCCTGATGTTGTAAAGCGTGTATCTGCAGCAGCGGGTTGTAGCAGCTATATTTGCAGTGAAGGAAAGTTTGTTATCTAGGATCACACCCAGATTCCTTGCAGTCTGAGTCGGGGAAACAACAGAGGTGCCGATGTTGATTGTTAGGTCAAGAGTGGGACAATTTTTTTTCCCGGAAGGAAAAGCAGTTCAGTCTTGTCAAGGTTTAGCTTGAGGTGGTGAGCAGACATCCACTGAGAGATTTCAGCTTGACAAGCAGAGATGCGTGCAACGACCTGGGTCTCTGAGCGGGGAAAGGACAGAATTAATTGGGTGTCGTCAGCGTAGCAGTGGTATGAAAAACCATGCGGGCTAATGACTGATCCGAGCGAGTTTGTGTACAAGGAGAAGTTGTGACTACACAAATGTGGTCATCCTAAGTCTTGTGTGTTATATTATTTATTTTCACACATTTAGTTGCAGGGGCCTTGAATTTTCCAAATGCCAATGCAGAGAACACACCCCGAGTTAATCATTATCCCCAAGTGACAGGTGTTCTTCCTTAACGCTGGAGATTGAACTTTGAATCATCTTAACATTCCTGACATTTCCTCATCACCCAGCTGATGTTTTGATTTCATTTTTCAGTATGCAACTTCACAGCTTTATAAAGTCATATTATGTCAGCGTATGTGTTGTTGACCACAACTTGAAAATGCAGGATAAGGAGGAGATTCTCTAATGATCAACCAGAAGAAAAAAAACCTATGAAAAAATTTCACACCACTACACTCATGGAAAGTGAGGAACATCATAGATCGATGATATGTAAGTATATAAGTGTTAGTATGTATTGGTGGATCTGGCATAACGAGAAGCTCACTTGGTGGCCTACACGCTTATTTCTATAAATCAAAATGTCTTCTGTGTCCAGCTGAACCTGTTAAGCAATGCCTTCCATTTAAAGTCTACTGTGTCCAGTATTTCTTTGTATTACTGACTTACTGCGTGGTTGTTGGGCCTGCCCCTTGACTGCTGAACAATAGTTGTATCCTCATGGGACAAGCAGGACCCCCTGACCTTCAGAGGGGAGAGGCCTGAGAGTGTAGGTGGACGGACAGAGCCCATACTGTGACCTTTTGTCTATAAATGTCACCAACGCAGAGGGCCCACGGAAATAGCCGCTAACTCTGGAAAAATCTCATTTTAGGACTATTGTCTTGTTAATGAATGTAGC